AATAATGATCCATCTGATATTCTGTGTCCAAGGCCAGACGCTAAGCAGGAACAAAAGGCTTGTTGAACACCTTGTTGGAACAAAGAGCTTTCCTGAAAAGCGTCGGTCCGATAGGTTTGGAGTGTGCCGTGCAGGGTATCACTCAGCTAACTGGACATTGCATTCATTGCTGTCTGGTTTTGCTGGGATTCGTTTATCTATTTCTGAGGATTTATAGAAAGTCTATAAATCTTAGCCTGGAGGTGTTTGGCCACTTCCAGCAAACTGCTGCTGTGTAAGCCAATACAGCACAGAGGAGCTCTACCTTCAGTATACTATTAAAACAGCCAAGCAGGAGAAAGCAGCCTCGCAGTCAGTTGAAAGCTTCAGAGCTTTGGATTGATAAGATTTAACTGACAGCCCGATAAGCCTGATAGTTCTCTCTTCCATTTTAATGTACCTGGGGCTGCCAAAGGAGTGAGGAAACACATTTTTCAAAACTACTGGAAAGATCTTGGTTTGGAAAGATGCTCATCTGAATCTGAATCTGAACGATAAGATAACCATGCTGAACAGAGGAGAATGTCTGTTCCCGTAGCTCCAGGTGGGAGCTTTTTTTCCTTTTTTTAGCAGCGTCTGTAAAATAAAATAGCATATTTTTGTGCTACAGTTACATTTTTTTAAAACCATATTCGGAATTAATTTCAGTGTCCATGCTGCTGTAGCCTCAGGCAGTTGTTTTGAGTGATTTAGGATAAGAGGGAGGAAGTGAGAAAAACTAAATGAATGTTTATACCAGAGGTCTTTTAATTGCAGGGAGACTTTAGAAAGAAAACGGGCTCATTATCAGACTAAACGTCTGTGCCACACAGGAGGCTCTGTCATCTATTCAACAGCCAGCTCTAAAGCGTTCTCCCCATATGTTCAGTGCTGCGTCTCAGGTAACCCAACTATGTCTCTGTGGGGCAGCTGTGACTCAGGGAGTGGAGCAGGTTATCCACTAAACAGAGGCTTGTGCTTCATTTATTGGCTTTTCCGCCCGCGACCTTTGGTGTGTCTTTGCACAAGATACTGATTCCCCAAAATGGTCCCTTAGTTACATATTTATGTAAAGCACAAGTGCTATATGTATGAATGATGCTTGTAATGCTTTAAGTATTCAGCAAGGCTAGAGGTATATAAATAAAGTCCATAGACCATTTCTCTGGTTAGTTTAAGAACCTACCTTATATGACCACCCGAGCTTTTAGTGTTAGGTTAATGCGTATGTTTATACTCCACATCTGAAAGATGGTGACACTTACAGCTTCACAGGGCAGTCAAAGGGTCTTTTCTAATCCTCTGAAATACAGCTACAACGGATGAACTCTCAGGAAGCTTTTATGGCATGGAAGCATTTGTCTCATTTAATGATCGGCATCCTGACCTTGTTAGTAAATCTTGTCTGGGTGGGCATTCTCGCTGCCAGCGCTGGTTGGCAGAGGATGACATCACCTCCTCTCGTCTGCACACCGTATGAATGTGTGTGTATGCATGTGTGTGTGTTCACAGGCTGATGTCATGGTCACTTAATCACTGCCAAAGTTTAACGAAGGCTGGGTCAGGCTGTGGGTGACCTGGGACCGCGAGGCCAGTGCAGAGATGCAGATTTGCGTTAATCCTACCTAAAATTTGGCAAAGAGAAAACCACACAGCGATGTCTGCCTGCACACAAAACTTCGGTCTGGTGCTCTTGCTTTAACAGAACTAAGTCTGTATTTCTCCTACAGACAGTAGATTTATGTTATACCCCCACACCTTTGGGGCAGAGAGCTGTTTGATCATGTCAAGGGCAGCCCATCAATAAGACAGCCTGTACTGGTTTTAGCTCTGGGGAGGTTTCCTAATGATTATCTTTTGACTCAAAAACACAGTACCTGCTCTGATATAGATCAACAGACATCCAGCCCAGTCAGTCATGACCATCTGCTGATTTGGCATTTATGGTGAGGGCAAAATACTCAGTATATACAACAGCAACATGGCTATACCGGCTTCAACTAAAGAGAAAGTCTCACAAATGCCGTCACTGGTATGGGGTAAATTCTCAGTGTCTCTAGCAACCAGTGAGCGAGTGAACTCATTGTGCCGTAGTCATTATCACTGCATGGTGTTGAAGCTGGCTGTAGCCCCAGTACTCCCATCTCCCATTCGTGAAGAGCTATGCCAGCCTGCTAATCAGCAGCAGTGGGAGACTCGCTGTGGGTGGGGTGGCGCGGGTAAAGCAGTCTCATATCAGACTGAGTGATCTGATCCGCGCATGAATGGCCAGAGCAGCCTTATCTTGTCTGCAGAGGGGGAAAAAAGGAGATTCACAGAAAGGAAGTGTCAAGGATAGTAAATGCGGCCAACATGGTAATTAACCACAGAAAAGAGGTACCTAAAGAGCTGTATAGCTGGCGTGGAGAACAGAGACAAATTTGTACAAACAAGCTAATGGGCGCACCAACTAATGTCTCTCTGGGTCAGAGGAATTTCTCTTGTTAATTTGACAAAGCAAAGAAAAAAGGCTGGGAACATTATTGACAGGCTACAGTGAAGCTTTGAATCTAGTCAGAAAATACAGCCTAACCATTCTTTCTCTGTCGTGCCACCATTGACCACCTCCGCTCCTCCCTCGCTCTCACTCCCTCCTTAGGTAAAGGATGAAATCTACATGTCCTTTCTCGAACAAAGGCACCGGGAGACCTTTTCATTTAAAGGGTTCTTGATTTTACATCTGTCTTGCTTCAGCTCATTTATATATATTACTCTGATTATCTGTCCCTAAGGTCTGTTCATAAGAAGACAGTGATGGAGCTGAAAGACTATCAGGATAGTTCCAACTGTGGCTGTCCCCTATTTTTATGTCAGTTTGATGTATAACAGTGAAAAGCACACTGGTGGTAGCAGCAGTAGGGATGAGAATAATTACCGGTTGCACTGTCAGAGTGACCAATGCCGACATTAGTATTGTCTTTTACTCATCATCTGTTGCCAATCATTGCTTAAAGGGATTCGATGGTGGTGAAGCATGTAGAACTCTGTTAGGAGACAGTCCTAGCACTTTAAAATAAGCCCACCTCAGAAAAGCAAACACTGCAGAAAAGCAAAGGTAACCATGCTATGGAAGGGCAGAAAGGGAAGAAGGAAAAGGTTATGTGATATATCAAACAGCTTTATTACTGTACGAAAAATGTAGGTGGTGTTGGTTTTATTGTTTGCCTTCAAATTTAATCCAGCAGAGTTCATATAAGGGGCACTGTGTCAGAAGGAGAGGAGCCGATAGAGCTTTGTGCTGCATGTACTTTCATCTGGCAAGTCTCACACCCACTCTGTTTGCCGATATGTTGTAGTAGGCACTCTGCAGCCAAAGTAGCAGCCTTTCAAACAAGACTGGCTGGTTGGGGGGGCTGAGAGGGCTTACTGGTAAATTGGCAGCCCAGGGAATACAGGGTACTCTCACCCCAGCGCTCACCCACTCACATGCTTTCATTCCCCTTTTTACCCTTGACCATTGACTGACTGCATTCTCTCTTAGTGGCCAGCATAAATCTGCCTTTCTAAGAAGTCATTTGTTCATTGTCTGTCCTCTTTTTTTGTTTTTGTTTTTTTTTAATCTCCCTCAGCTTTCCAGTTTAGTCAGAGCATCATTCATTGAAGAAATCCATTTTTCTCCTCTTAAGTACATCCTTCCTTATCCTGTCCCGCTCCTTATGATTAATACCGCTCTCATTCTTCCGGCTAATTACATCTGTTAGCAACGACAAAAAATAAATAAAATAATACAAATATGTAGTGTACACATGCTACCCCAAAAACACAGGAACACACATGTACTCTCGGGCTCATGGATGCATACACTGTAGGCATACTAACCAAATCTGTTTGAAGTGTGGGACCCTAAAAGAAGAGAGGGCTCCTGCATGCATTAACTATTCATGTGACGTGTGGTGGGGTGCATGCATGTGTGTTTGTGCAGAAGGCTGAATGAGACAGTGAGTGTGTGTGTGCGTGTGGGTAGAGAAAGAGAGAGAGAGAAAGAGAGCACTCGCAAATTGCGCCGCAAGCAGCCAGCAATCGAGCGCTGACACCTCGTCTGGCAGTCGGAGGGAAAAGGGGCTGGGCTGAGGAAAGAAAGGGAGAGAGAGAGGGAGAGGTGGGAGGCAGGGAGAGAGGAGGGAATGTATGTGTGTGTGTGGATGTGTGTGTGTGAGAGAGAGAGCCAGGGAAAGAGAAATAGAGAGAGACACGGCAGGACAGCTGCCAGAATTTCTCCGATTGCAGGAGAAGGACTAAGAGGTGGAACAGGAGCAGGAATTCTTCTCATTCTCAGCTACTCAAGGAAATCTTGCAGCCCAGCCAGGAGCGCTGATTATTTTCCCTGCCTTCTGCCTGTAAGCAGTAGAGCGTCTGGGAAGGACCGAGGCATAAGGATCTGTAACCACTCACAGCAGACAAGTACGGTGGATTAACTGGATGAGGGGAAAAAAGCAGCCTATGGGATGACTGAAGAATTGGATGCGAAGAAAAAGTAAAACTGAATCGGAGGACAAGCCAAGTTTCTGCGGTTTCTGAACTGCGTCTGAACTTTTGCAGGTGAAGGAGACACGCAAGGAGTTAGAGATGCTTTCGTAGTGCATGAACACAGGAGGTGCACATCCTCATCCTAACCTCGTCCTCACCTTCTCTTAAGAAACTCTCTGGATTACACCTTCACTGCGCACCTACTGGTTTTCCTGAAGGGCACTCATCCTGCCTGCCCACCTCCACCCAGCCCCACCTGCCGCTTGTTCCATTCAGTTACTATGACGCCCACGCCTCCCACTCGTCGCTCTCCCTCTGCCCCACGAGCTTCTCACAAGCCTCTGTGAAATTAAGTGGAACGTTGATGATCGTAGCGAAAAGGACCTCTGTGCCTTGAGTAGCAAGCAACCCCACCTCGCTGTGTAATTGCTGAGTGTGCCGGCGTAGCAAATGTGCAAATAATGGAGAAAAGTGACAACACGGACAAGGACAGCAAAGTCGAACTCTATCAGTTGCCTGTTTTTTGACTATGAGCATAAACTAGATAATGGATTGGAAAGAGCTGTAAGTATCTCACAATGTGTGCATGTCGGGGGGGGAAGCTTTGGCTCACTTTTCTAACATTCAACAGAATTCATAAAGCATGAGTGTATGTTCAAGTGTTTTCGGGCTTCACTTCCTCATACATATAGAGTCTCCTTTGAGCATTTTAGAGAAAGTTGTGAAGGAAAACAGCTTCATTAGCATTGAGATTGAGTGAACAGGTGGACAAGCTGTTGTGGGCAAAGAAATCTGAGCCTCTCTTCACTGCCTCTCTCTCTTTTTTTCCAATGACTGATCATATAGTTGTGTAAGGAGAGGAGAGAGAAATGAGAGGACGTGGGAGGGAGAGGTGGGGAGAGACAAGCAGTTTACCTGTGTACGTGTGACTGTGTTGAAAAAAACAAAGCCCTAGCATAATCATCCCTCACCTTCCATTCATGAACATGTGCACTGATTGTCATTGTGTTGCATGAATTAAAGCTCAAGGTTACAATCGCAGCTTTGGGCTGTGAACGCTACTCGCTGGTCAAAACAATTATAAATGAAGTGGGGTGGCTTTTTTTCTATGCTACTCTGTGGGTGCTGCTTGATTTCTGTCTAAACTCAAAGAGAAGAGAGAATGAGGTGAGGGGTGAGAGAGGGAGAGAGGCAGAGAGAGACAGAGGGACAGGGTAGATTTATCTTGAATGAATGTGCTGCGGATGCCTCTCATAAATGCGCGTACACACTCGCAGACTCGCGCCGCCACGTGTACTCTGCTATAGTTTCCCCTTTCTTTCTCTCCATCTCGCATTCATCTATTCCATCTCACTCCGTGTCACACGATCCGTCTCGCATGCTATCACACATAGGCAGCTCCCCGGGGAGCGGCTTCTCCTGTAGTCTTCTTGGATGCAATAATTATTCCATCAGCAAGCAGTGTGTTCGCTGATTGTGCTCTTGGGCTGTCACTGCAGGGGGTGTACAGTGGAGAGGGGAGGGGGTGGAGAAGAGGAAGCGGGGTGGGTTGTCACTCCAGGATACAAGGAGATAGGGATGAGAGGTGGGTTTTGTTTTTGGCAGCAGCCCACCTAGTCCTGTCCAGAGGAGCCCAGAACACAGCTAATGAGCTCAGGCTGGCCTTTTAGAAAAATGCTACTCACCAGGACATGGATCTGTTCCTTTTTGTACTCCAGATTTCCTCTTTTCTCCTTTTCATGTTCTCTATGTATTCTACCTCTCCTCAAAAACCTTGCTCTGCAGATTTTTCACATTCTATTCTCAACTTCAGGTCTTAATTCTCCGCGCCACACTTCCCTTCATGTTGACAACCGCCCCTTTGTCTTCCCCGTACTTCTCTGAAATCTGACTGCTTAAATGAAACCCATTTGAGTGCATTTGAATTACCTTTGGGTATTACTTTCCTTACTGACCTTGAATTACTGCCTGAGGTGTGTGTTAACTGATCTAGGGCAAAGCAAAAACTCGAACCACCTGGACCGGGGTCCCTGCAGGCCAGGCAGAGATATTGGTGTTGCCTATAAAGTTGAAGAAGTTTGCACAAAAAAGAATGACTCCTTCTGATTGTTCTATGGAGATCTTCTTGACTTTGAAAAGAGACCAGAATGACAGCGGAATTTAAACTGTGAAAAAGGTCAATTCACTTACAGAACTGGGTTCTGTTTGGTATCAGCAGAACTGTCATGTGACTATCTAGATATCACTAAACTAACATCTGATTATCGAGGTTGTTTACAACTTCCAAAATACATACATGTTGTAGGTTTGTCTCAATAGAATAGAATAGAATAGAAAACTTTATTTGTCAATTTCTGCGCAGACATTGACAACAATAAAGTGCAGATGCACAACAAAAACAACCCTAACAATAAGGTAATAATACTAAATACTAAAACAATATGGGTCTTTTCTAATGCTTTTCTAGCTAACAATTACACATCAGGAGAACCTCAGTGCTCAGTATCTTGCCCAAGGATACTTTGGGATGCAGCCAGCAATTGAACCACAACTTCTTATTAGTAGATCATCTGCTCCATCTTCTGAGTCACAGCCACCCAAATGATGCTGTCATCATTGCTTAGCTGCAATGATTAGCAGAGAAGGACACAAGTATGCGGTAGAGGGAAGTGTTTCAACAGTCCTCAGCTGTCACATCCACGACAGTTTTTTTGCTGTGTTTGATCAAAATACGTGCATGTATTTCCTGTGGCTTTACAGTCTGCGTCTGGTCCCTTTGAGCAGAGAACCTGGTGACCATTTGTCTTAGAGAGCTGTTCTGTATAAAAACATAAAGGTGTAAGAGAATTCCACTTTTAGTTTAAGTCGAGAGCTGAAACATTATCCTTCTTGTTATGGGAGTATGAGTTGGGAGTTGAGGGAAAAGCATTTTTAGAGTGGAGAAGGGTTGGGAGTGGTGGCATAGTGTAACTCACCTCCTGACTTTGTTTACTTTGGCAGACTAAGAGCAGATTGTTGACCTTTATGTTAAAGTGTTAGCGTGTGGTTTTTGTCAAGGTAGACATTTAAAATCAATAACCTCTTGGTAGGGTACCTCCTCAAGAAAACATTACCTGAGAGAGAAAGAAAAAGGATTTGCTTAACTTTACAGCTTGGTAGTTTTCTAAGTATAGCTTTACTTTCAAGGCTTTTTTTCCCCTTCCCACCTCCAGGGCAGCTCAGAAGCTGAATCTTTCCTCCAAGCGGAAGAAAAACCTGCCTTCTCTGCTTAACCCGCAAGAACCCTCCATCTACCCGACCAACTTCAGCGGTATCCTGCAGGTCTCGCCACCCCCTGCCCCACCATGTCTGCTCCGTGCTGTTTCCAAAGTGAAGGAAAATCCAGGGATGGGAAAGGTGAGAAAAGACACACACAGAGGCACCAGAGACAGAATGCTTTTAATGCACAACAGCTATACAACACGTGCTCTCATAAGCCACCATTCCCTTCCTCCCTTGCCCTGCAGAACTGCGTGCGCCAACATTTATGGATACACACAAACCCCTATTTGGAGGGTTGAATGCAGAGTGGCGACAGACTGGTCTGCAGGCAGCGTGCTGTCTGGTCCAGTCCATGCAGATGCAGCCAGATAAGCCTGCTGGAATGTCATGAATTCACTCAGTTTGTGTGACCAGCATTCCTCTCTGTGAACACAGAAAAGACAGTAAAAACTATAATTCACCAATCTGTGGTCACGTTAGCATCAAGACTCCTAATTCCATTTTAGGTGCAGTGTGCAGTGTTGAAAGTCAGGCTGCCAGCGATAGAGCAGTCATTAAACAAAGCTGTATAAACACATCTCTCTTCCTTTGTGGTTTATTGGGTATTGTTTGTCTGAGCTGGCGTCCTGTATTTATAAAGCAGAAGAAGTCCCCTAACAAGATTAGATCCCACCTGGACAGGAAGTGCTCGCTTTTGTTGCCAGGTATCCAGACGGTTGAAATTTTGCCACATATTGTAAATCTCCCATTGACACGGGGACTTCATAAAAAACCTGTGCTATTAACAAGCCTACTCAAGCTCACACCTGATGTATATGATCCATCTGTGCCGTTTAAGCAGCTGGTTTTCAACGGGAGATCAGGATTTATGACATTTTATGATATTGTTCCAAGTCTGCTTGCACAGATTTTCAGGTTTTCTTATAGTAAAGTAAACAGATCTGTGTGCTTTCCTGGTTTGTCTGCCTCTCTTTCACCTGTGGAATCGCACGTGAAATAACATTTTCAGTCGCTTTCACGGCTTCTCCGGATCTGTTTCATTCGAATTCAATCAATGTTTCCAATCAGGTGTAGGTGGGTCACTTCCACTTCTCCACTTTTGACCTAGACACAGTTCTTTCAGGTGTAAGGAGCTGAGTGGACGGAGTCATGCCAAGCCTCACTAATGGATTTTGTGGGGAATCAAGGGACAGGGAACCAGGGGCCATTAGCACGGTGTCAAATACTACAGCCAATCCTCTGTGGCCTCCACTATCTGATCTCTGCCAACGTAAATAAAACAGGGACATTAGCTCACTTGGTAGCCTCTGTCTGGTGGACAGACATGTGGTTGTCATATATGGAAGCCCTGTTTAAATGACATAGCAAATCTAATTCACTCAACATATGCACTTGTCAGTCACAACAAGAGTCCCCTGTGGAGTATAAAGAGTGCTTGCACTTGGCCTGGAGTATCCAAGATGAATTCACTCAATGAAAGAAAGGGTTTTCCAGCCACATTGTTTGTGAGTGCAATATTAATATACGAGTCAGGGAAGAATGGTCCTTTTGTGTAGGCGTGAAGATGGTGGAGAGTCCTGAGCTGAGCAAAGCAGCCCTATGTCAAAAAGGGAAGAGAGTTGGTTGTATTTTAAGGGTTTTATTTCAGTGCCTGAGAGGCACCATAGGTACTTTTTTAACAAGCTTTAAAATGACTCTGGATTGAGTTCCCTGTCATGTATACTGTAGGACAGAAGCAATTCAGCTGATGTAATGTTAGGCGCAGCACTAAATACTCTGGGAGTTGACAGGGACTCTAAAGACTGCTAAACATATCCAAAGAGCCATTTCTGTTCCCTGTCATTCACAGATATATTTCCAGAGAGCCTTTGGAGAAATAGAAGTGGCGCTATCTGACCATCAGATTGTAAAGGAATATAGAGATGTCAGAATTTCTAAAGAGGTGTCATATAGCCTGACACACATAAGCACACCCACACAAACCACAAACTGTGCATCTATGCATTAGAGACATAGGTTGTCTGTAAAAGAGGTCCTACCACAAGGCATGAATGGGCATGTTAGTGAATCAACATCTTTAGATGCAAGATGCGATCATGTTTAGCATACCATGTTGGCATCAAGAACTATATGTTGACCTGGGGAAGGTGTTAAGAATCTACGCTCATTTTATAAATATAATATGTCTCAGAATATAGCAGGGTGGGTCACTTGACAGCCAGTCGTTTTGCAGGCAATAGAGGGAAAGGAGAGAAAAAGGAGAGTTAGGAGGTGGAACAACAGGCAGGGAGGGCATATGCTCCTGCACTCCCACGCTGGTGAGCTGTTCCTGGTCCAGAAAAAACAATCTCTAGTGGGATAATCCCCCAGCAGGGAGCTGCACACACACCGATTTCTAACATTTTCAGCTGTGACTTTCAATACTCACCTTGCTGCCTTTTACTAACACCATTAGCCAATGTGTTGACCCAGGGAGAGTTTCCATGGTAACTTTCAGTGTCCATCAGCTCTGACAAAGTGAACGTGATCTTAATGCACAAACGCTGAAGGACCTTCAGTTTGCAACTTTTATATTGAATGCCTGCCATATGTTTTTCCCGTCTCTTCGCTTAGTGCACTATAATCAAAATGTCTGTCTTTTTGTCGTGTTTTTGTGCCATCTCAATTTCTAACACACCGCTGTTCTCTCTTTTTGCTTATTTGATGTTGCTTTAGGTGAAAGTGATGATGCGTATCTGTCCGTCTCTGGAGGCTGCAGACTCCTCAGAGTCTCAGTCTTTCTTGAAAGTAGACAGTAGGAAGAAGCAGCTGACCCTCTACGATCCTGCGTCCAGCCCACACTCTAGTTCAGGGCACAGGAGATCCGCCACTGTGGCCGTCCCAAAGATATTTGCCTTTGATGCTGTTTTTACCCAGGATGCTTCACAAGTAAGGGCCAGTCTTTGTGTATGTGTGTGTGTATTAGAGCAAGAGAGCTATTTTCTATTTGTTATCAGGGAATTCAGCCTCTCAAGGGCAAAGGGACGTCTTTATACTTGCAGGGTGTGACCAGAGGCTTAGAGAAAAAAATGCCTTTCTTGGGTCAAGGGGCATTCTTAGCAACATGGGCCTAACAGCTGGGCTTTTAAGCCCTCTACGGAATGATTTGAATCCACTCCACTTATATCTAACCACTCCTTTCATAGGACAGCTATATCTAACCTCAGCCATTTGGAAGACACAGCAGGCATAAGTGCTGAGATCAAAGTCAAAGGTCAGATATACAGTATGTTTAGTACATGTGACTTAGGAGCGGATCAGATTTGCTCTCTTCTCATATTAAGACAAACACCAAAATCTTTTAAGAGAATGACTCAATCTGTTTTTGCTCAAAGACAAAATTAACAGAAAATCCAAGGTACGGTAATCTGAAGCATTGTTTGCATGTCGCCATGGTGCAGCGAACTCTAAATAACTATGACAGCAGAGTGTAGGATGTCATCACCTGTGTAGGATATCCAGAAAAACCTCAGATTTTTTGCCTACTTTGAGCAATTTTTTAAAATTAAGTAAGCTGCTGATGGCTAAAGACTAAATGTTTCTGCTACATAGTTGAGGCCAAGCTGCTAGATTGTGCTGCTGGGGCAGCACTGCTGGTGGCTAACAGTAACAACAAGCTGTTCTGCTGTTAGAGGTCTTGTTTGCTGTGTGATGTATGGGAAGGGGCCTTTGCTGCTGAAGCCTTGCCCCAGAGGACCTCTGCTGAAACAGATTGCCTCGACATGCAAGACACGGAAACAGACATTAACAAACAAACACACACGCACTTGAGTGATGAAAAATACTGAAACTAATAACATGAATTGGTGTAAGCAATGCCAAATGCTCACTGTGCCTGTTTTACAGTGTTCCTCGAATTGCAAACTGACTGTGAAGGGCCTGTCTCTTTGTGTTTTTCCACAGGCTGAGGTGTGCTCAGGGACAGTAGCTGAGGTCATCCAATCTGTGGTGAATGGTGCAGACGGCTGCATCTTCTGCTTTGGCCAAGTAAAGCTCGGTAAGCTTCTCCACTGGCAACAGATTAGAGAAGTGCCTTTGTTAGCCAAAGAAAACTCTCATTGCTCTTTGTTAGCTACACTTGATGTCCACAATTGGCTTAGCGGTGCACTGGGGTGAGTCAAGGAATGGGTGATTGAAGGAAAAGGAATGGATAGTGAGTCTGGTGTGGGGGTGAGGGTAAAGTGCTGCATTCAGGCTTCAGGGCTCAGTCTGTAATTAAAATCTTAGTAATTGGCCTGGCCAGTGTTCTTAGGCTGAAGGGCCTGCTTTTCTCATGCAGCTGTTTCCAGTTTCTGTAATTCTGTGCAGAATGACTGTGTCTGGAACAGGTCCCTGGATTAGCATTTGATTTAAAAGAAAAAAGTTATTATTATTTTATTTTTGCCTTTCCAAATATTACCTCAAATCCTTCACATCTGCCATTATTAATTTTTTTTCAGCACCATTTGTTTAGCAGAATAACCCTTCAGAAAATATCCAATGCCAGTGCCTATTTCTTTGTGAACTTCAGGCCTATTTCAGACAGGTTGATAAAAGAAGCAATTTTATTTTGAACATATAGTGAGTGCAGCCGGCTTCCACACACAAGGCAATATTTTTATCCCCCCCCCTCCTTTCTTACATCCTCAGGCAAGACATACACCATGATTGGCAAAGACAGCTCCACTCAAAGCCTAGGCATTGTGCCCTGTGCCATTTCTTGGCTCTTCAAGCTCATCAACGAGCGCAAGGAGAAGACGGGCACGCGCTTCTCAGTCCGCGTGTCTGCAGTGGAAATCTTTGGAAAAGATGAGGAGCTAAAGGACTTGCTGTCTGAGGTGTCGTCCGGCAGCCTGCAGGAAGGCCAATCCCCGGGAATCCACCTGAGAGAGGATCCCATCTGTGGCACTCAGGTGAGAAGTGTTCCATCTCTCCACTTTTTCTTTGTTCACTGATCCTTTCATTCTCTCTGTGGGTTATAAAATATTAGTCTGACTGAGTATTGATCTTTTACTGTCTAGGCTCTAGCTCTTTTTTCCCCTCAAAGATGTTTAAAGTTCTTCGAGTGCAATGTGTGTATATATATGTGTGTGTGTTTTTATCTCCCGTGACTTCCTACCCTACCTGCTCTTAAAACCCTTGCTTTATATTTTCTACCCAACCCTTCTGTGGTATTGATGGCTTTCTTCTTACCTTTGTATTGACTCTTCTGTCAGCATCCGTCAGAATCTATTACTGATGTATTAGTGTCAGCCCTCTATAATGCCATAGAAGTATTACTGGGTGTGTGTGTGTGTGGTGGGAGTGGGAATAGCAGAGGGGGGTTGTGACTGTATGTTTGAAGGCTCTCACAGGTGTTGCTGTCAGATGTTGTTTTTGGGGATATGCATGGACTCTAACTTCAAAGGGTGTGCAGTACTATGAATCTCCCTCTTGCGCTTTCCTTCAGCAGCTATGTGTGCCTTCTCTCTTCTGCCTCCTCCTTCCTTTCCTTCTGTATCCCACCACTGCCATCATCACATCATGTTGAGGTGAAGAGCCCCTGCCTCCTGCTCCACTATTACCTCTCCTAATCCTCCTCCCACTGTGTGCATATCTGCTGTTTTAATAGCCCCTGAGACCCAATCTAATGGGCAAGAAATGTGTGGCAGAGTCCAATTAACTGGTTACCTTCTCTTTCTCGTTTCTCTCTGTCTCTCTTTCTTTTAAACATCAGTCCTTTTTCGGATACCCTGACCTTATTCTCTGGTTTTCCTTTCCCGCCCTTCAGCTTCAAAACCAGAGTGAGCTTCGTGCCCCAACTGCTGAGAAAGCCGCCTTCTTCTTGGATGCAGCCATTGCTGCCCGGAGCACCAGCAGACCGAATGTTGATGAGGACGAGCGACGGAACTCCCACATGCTGTTCACACTGCACATTTACCAGTACCGCATGGAGAAGACTGGAAAAGGGGGAAGTTAGTATTATTGCATTACTACTGCCCTGCAGCATAGGACCAGAAAGTTGTCCCTTCAAATTTATAGTAGAAAATTATAGAGTGAACCATGCGCAAGCAGCCAGATTAGTGAATGAAGTCCACACTTGCTCTAAAAAGTACTAAAATACAAGATAATCTAGATTAAAAGGCGCCTCCATTTAGTTATCACTAATTGTTGTTGGGTTTTTTTTAAAAACATAAGCTCTTTAGATGGCTAAGTGGATTTGATCGCACTTTAGCTTTTAATGGAAAATCGCAGGCTCTTTTTTGCGTTTGATGAATTCATTCTGGTCTCTGCAAAACAGAAATGTATTTGCATGCTTGTAATACATTGTGGTTAAGAGTAAGTAAAGCCTGCTGGTTTATGAACAACATCAATCACCAACAGGATAATGTGTAGCTCTGTGATTTACAAGGACAGACGCTGGCATTCGCCCTGTCTGCATTTTTAAATTATTCGATGGGGGACTGTGTTTCTAATTGTCAGTAGATTCTCTCGTTTTACGTGTCTCACCAAAGGAGACTCCTTGTTGCCATGAGTTACACATCTGGTGGAGGTTTAGCAGTCTGGCTGCAGTCTTACTCATAAATAATCCAGACAGCTCAAACACAGCTATGCCACTCCTGTCATCAGGGCACTTTGTACAGGCAACTTACTCCACATAGGGAGTGTCTGTTTTGCTCACCTGGTTCTTCTTCTGCCGTTGGCAGTGTCGGGTGGACGAAGCAGGCTGCACCTTATTGACTTGGGGAGCTGCGAAAAGGTCCTGAGTAAAAGCAGAGATGGAGGAGGAGGCTTGTGTCTTTCCCTGAATGCACTGGGAAACGTCATAATGGCTTTAACAAATGGAGCGAAGCATGTACCCTACAGGTGAGAACACCAACATGAGGTTTTAGAGTCGGCTGCGTTTTAGCTTCCAAGAAACTGTATCTATATGTTAATTGTTTCAGGCAAGTCACCGCATGTGTTGTCAACCTTGCAGGTTTTTCTGTGCGACTGTTCAGTTTGTTTAGTTAGCTGCACAACAGCTTTCACTGGGGTTGCACAAGATTATATTGTAGTTACTCAAGTATGAAAAGATTAATGACTTGTCATTTGGGAGTGTTTTTCAGCTCGGAGGATTTAACGTGCCTGCCCCAGTAAAATATTACTGGGCTGTTTGCTAATAACAATGTAAATGCTCCCTGTAGAGACAGCAAACTGACAATGCTGCTGAGGGAGTCCCTTGGCAACATCAACTGCAGAACAACTATGATTGCCCACATCTCAGATTCCCCAGCCAACTATGCTGACTCGCTCACCACTATCCAGCTGGCATCCCGGATCCACCGAATGAGAAAGAAGAAATCTAAGGTACGGCATGTAAACATGTGCAGTAACACACTGATAAACCGATGAACAAGCAATATGAATTCCAGTGACACCACTAACGATGCATTTGTATAATTTAAGAACTTATTATAATCCTTATAAATCTTAATAAAGCTCCATTTAATGTTGCTCATTGTTTATAAATGATAAATGAAGAGTAATCGTTATTATTAAACATTATTTCATCATTAAGTGTTGCTATTGTAGCAATTACATTCCTAATGTGCATGCGTAACTTTAATTACCTTCATCATAAATCACAGCATTATTAAAGTCCTTAAATTTGTCTTCCTCGTGTAATTTTGGAGCTATTTCGCAAATGAATGTGTTAATGCTCCCACAAATGAAATATTATTAGTGCAGTAAGTCAGAGCTAGTTTCTCTCAGCTCCTCAGCACATAATCATGTAATCAATACCACCGCCTAAGGAAGTGTGTGATGTATTCCCTTAGATTAGGGAAATATATGCTCCAGATAATTAGGTGAAATGACAGCATGTATTTATTTAGTCCCCATTATAATTATGATGCAGGCCGCAGACAACAATTTGCATTATTGACATTAGTTTCTGTGGGGCTATTGATGTGCACTTTTAACCTCTAGATAAATATTGACCGGTAATATTATAGGAATTAAAATATGCTCTGAAATGGATTTTGCTGCAAACTAGTAAGATATGAATCTGCTCTAAATTATAAGAATTAAAGTGATTTGTAAATTGCAAAGTCTATTATGTTAATTTTCCTTTTATCATTTTGTGAGATCATTTACAGATCTCTACTCTGTTCTAACTTGGTTTTGCAGTATGCATCTAGTTCATCTGGAGGTGAAAGCTCGTGTGAGGAAGGGAGGATCCGGAGGCCCCCCCACCTCAGGCCTTTTCACCCTCGGACAGTAGCCCTGGACCCAGACCTGCCCTGTTTGCTCAGTGACCCAGAATACTCCTCTAGTAGTGAGCAGTCTTGTGATACTGTTATTTATGTGGGCCCTGGGGGAACTGCAATCTCAGACAGGGAGCTTAGTGACAATGAAGGCCCACCTGCCTTTGTTCCAATTATCCCTTCTCTGAACAAGAAGAAGTCTGCAAAAGAGGGCCCTCTGGACAGAGACCATTTCTTTAAATGCAACACATTTGCTGAACTGCAAGAGAGGCTTGAGTGCATAGACGGCAGTGAAGAACCTACTGCTTTCGTTGGAGAGGGAAAACGATCCCAGGCTAGCCCCAAGATGGACAAATCTAAAGAGAGCCAAAGCTCTGTTTCACCAAAGACTGTAGCAAATATTTCTTACAACCAAGAGGGTATCTCACCCAAACAATCTCCTAAATCGGTCCCCCGCAGCCATCTTGCAGTCCCAGTGCCAAATCTAAAGTTGACAGTGCCAAGAGGCAATGCATGCCTGTGGAAAGGGTACCATCAGAGAGTGTTCAAAATGTTTGCAGGACCAGGGCTGATGGTGAGAAGGCCTTGGTTTCAGAAAACAAGGTTAGTGCAAACAAACTGGCACCTGCCGCTGCCCCACCTACTGAACCTGTGGTGAGAGAGAAGATTTACTCCAGCAAGAAATCCTTGCCAAAGCCAGCCCCGCCTCCTTCACAGCAGAGAGAAAATACTGACAATGAGGAAAGATCAAGCACCAGAATGCCACCTGTTGGAATGAGCCACCAAGCTGCGAAAAGAAGGGATCCGTGCACTTCGCCTTTACTTAGAGCTCCGGTGGAGGTGTGCCAGGTACGCTCGACGTTGAGGGAAAGATGTCTGGACCGGGACATCCTTAGAGCGACTGTCACCCTGCAGCAGCCTGTGGAGCTGAACGGAGAGGATGAGCTGGTGTTCACTGTGGTGGAGGAGCTATCTATAGGCAGTATAGTAGATCAAGGCCGGCCATCGAGCATTATTAGCTTTAACAGTGACTGCTCTCTTCAGGCCCTGGCCTCTGGTTCTCGACCTGTCAGCATCATCAGTAGCATCAATGATGAATTCGATGCCTACACATCAGCCGCTGGAGGGTCAGAGGTGAACATTTCAGTGGTCACAGCCCCTCAGGAGGGAGGAATGGCGTGTATAGACAGCAGAGGTTCATCTATCAGTTCTTGGCTGAGTGAGGTTAGTGTCTGCACCTTGGAAAGCGAAGGGGCTCATTCCACAGACGTCTTCCTTCCACAGGCCAAACACATGGGCCCAGAGGCCACCGTTTACTTTGACTCCCTGGATATGTTTAATTGTGTCTCCTCGCCTAGAAATGCCAAGAACTCCCTAAATGACAGCGGATTTAGTTTTTCTGAACTAGACAGTGATAGCGCCGCCTCAAGCAAGCTGTCACTGACAAAGTGCCCCCCATCACCAGAATCAGCAAAAGGCTCCCTAAAATTTACATCTAAAATAACTAAAGCTCACTCGCTTAGCTCCTCCCACAGGGCCCAACTATAGTCCACTCCAGTCTTCCCAGGAAGATTAAACCTACCTCATCTATCTCTCATAGCAGCAGCAGTAGCAGCAGCAGCAGTAGAGAGCCACTAAGGCAAGAGGTTAAACAGGAAGATCCTTGGAAGTGCATTGACAACCACTCTGAACCTCAATTTTCTGACTCCAGCAATACCAGCAAATTTCTCAGAAATCCCCCCAGTGGCATCCCTTCCAGCAAAACGTCCAGCAACACCAACAGTGTACCTCGCTCTCCCAATGTGCAGGGTCTACCTCAGCCCAAAGGGTGGTTGATGGCTGTGAGAAATCAGCCAGCAGGAATCCACCCAGCAAAATGCCTCAGCTGAGACGAGGTGCCACCACCCTGGGAACAGTGCCCGTCATTCATTCCACCACGGACTACAAGGGAAGCCAAGATATTGTTGCATCTGCCACAAGCCTTAAATTTTCCTCTCTGGGGAAAAACAAGGCCAACTCACAGAAAGCGAGCATTCCGCTAAACCCGACTGCACCATGCCTCCTCCTCCTCCAGTGAGAAAATCCAGTCTTGACCATAAAACGAAGACACTGCTGCCCCAAAGTGCCTTAAAGACAGCATATGGGGAGGCAGGAAGGACCTATGGAGCGAGGGCGGCTGTATCAGAAGATGAGCTTGAGGTATGCCACAGAGTAGACAGTTTCAAAACCTCCAGCCTCAACACGGCCAAAGTTACCTCCAGTTTGAAGGCCAAAGGGCCTAGAGGAGAGGCTGGGCAGCACTATGGCAGTCAGATATCACTGGAAAGGTGTGAAAGTCTGTCCTTATCAGGTTCCAGAGCTGCGCTTAGTAGAGAGAACAGCGGGGCAAGTCTTGGCAGCAGTAGTAGCAAATCAAGCAAGTCCATTTCGCGATTCGGTATTCCCAATTCATCCAGCGCTCCTATTGCTTCCTGTCCATCCTCCCAAGTGGAGGAAATGTCAGCAAACCTGGACAGGTAAAAGCTTCTGTAAATCCTAGGTCATTGGGAGCTGTTAATGGTTCTAAGGCACGTTCACTATCAGCCAACAGCTCCAAGGGCTTAAGCTCCTCCACAAAGTCTTTGGCCGCCCATCTACCAGAAACACTAATGCCAACCTCCCTCCTTCTGGACGGACATCGGCTCCTCGGACCACCGCTGCAGTCACCAGCAAGCCTGGAAGAGGCACTATCATGGGCACAAAGCAGGCCATTAGAGCTGCAAATAGCCGTGTGAGTGAACTGGCAACAGGCAACATATCAGGAAAACACGTGAAAGCTTCAGCAGACTCAGACAGTGGGAATGACAGCGGGGTGAATGTGAGTGATGACAAATCCCCAGTAGCCATGCTGCCTTCTCCATACAGTAAAATCACAGCACCCAGGCGGCCTCAGCGCTACAGCAGTGGCCACGGCAGTGACAACAGCAGCGTGTTGAGCGGGGAGCTACCTCCGGCGATGGGACGCACAGCTCTGTTCTACCACAGCGGTGGCAGCAGCGGATATGAAGCATGATCCGTGACAGTGAAGCCACAGGCAGCGCTTCCTCTGCCCACGACTCTATGAGCGAGAGCGGCTTCTCATCTTCAGGGAGAGCAAAGAGCTCCAAGTATCCCAAGAAGAGAGCAACGGTGAGAAACTAATTTGGGATTTCGGGGTTTTACAAGTAATCTAGAAATGGGTAATATTCACAAATATTGTGATATACATTTCGTGGCACACACCCGAGTAATAAATATGTGCTGTCTCAGAGGAAATCAACCATAAATTTGTGGATCCATTGTTATTACAACCACAAATGGGCATTTCATCGGATTTTGTTTCCTTCTGAATCAGCAGCATGCATAATTCATACGTAGAGTAAATGCGAAAAACGTTAATGAATGTTTCAGACAAGGCATCTTTGATGTGTGTATTGATCAAATAAAAGTTGAACATGGGGATTTTTATGTAGGCCATTGTCTCGTGTATAACTGTTTCAATTCATGTAGGATAAACAAACCTTTTGAATCCACATATCTCATGAAACTCTTATAAGTATGCAGTCGCCACAGCTCAACCAACCACTGTAAAGCCTTGCATCACTTTATATCTCAGAGTGGGATTTATATATTTTTTTCTATAGATCCTAGCAAATGCTGCTGTTGTATGTTAGCAATCTAATTGGTGCCTGTCTGCCTGGTGCTTTAGGCTTCCAAAGAAGACGGCTAATCCCAGCACCCCTGCCAGACACAGCATCTCTGGGGAAGAAGGTGAGCACAGCAGGTCAGTGGGTGGACTTGCCTCCTATGTCTGGACCACTGAAGGAACCCTTTGAGATCAAGGTGTATGAGATCGACGATGTGGAACGGCTCCAAAGGCGCCGTCAGGAGGAAACCGCAGAGGTGAGCAGACACAGGTCACAGCTGGCTTGTTTTGCTGGTTTAGTGGTTCATCTTTCTGAACCCTGTTTTGGGTAAAGTGAAGTCTGGGTTGATGCCATGTAAATCCCACTTGCTAAGCCTTAGCAGCATTTTGCATCTGCAACATCAATGCCATACATTAAGATACAATCACACTGACTTGCAGTGTGGGAATTTCTTAGCTCCTTCTCCCCAGCTTCTTTTTAAAGAACAGGACAGCAATAATATGTCCCAGACGTCTGACCTTCAGCCAGCTCTGTGGCAAATCCTGGAGTTAAAATATCTGCGTCTCCAGATTCCCAGTGCTTGGTATTTTGCAGCACTCCTTGGGAATGTCAAGAGTTCAGTAGGCAATTACCAATGAGGGTTAATTGGTCTGAGTATGACTGATTACTCGCCTCACTGCTGAATGTGATGGTGATACGGTGGGGTGTAAAAATGAAAAAGAAGACTGCGGTGAAAAGATTGGTCAGAGAATGTGCGATGATTGCGAGGACACCTGACACCGACCCAAATCAGCTCAATGACAGCAGTCATCACTGAGCAGTCTGCATTGCTGACTCCTCCTGGGTCATTAACTGTTTCCATGAAGTGCAGCTGGAGGGGGATATTTTTAAACTTATACATATGAAATCAATGACAGGAGGTAGTCTGATTTACTTTTCTCCTCATCATCAATGTCAATTTAGTTCTTTTACTGTTTTTGCACCTATTACAAAATTCCAGTTAAAATCCATTGCAAACAGAATATGTTTTAATATATAACACTCTGTCTTGTCCAACACACTAACTTGTTTTATTGGTTTTTTTCCAATCCCGTGTTCAGCAACCATTCCAAGACGTTGACAAGGTGAGCTCGTTTTTCAGAGAAACTGATGTTTAATTAAAAGCAGCACAGACTGTATTACCAGCGAGCCAAATGTAACATACAAGCAGTATATTATCTGTTTGACTTTATTTCACGTTTATCAATGAAGTTTACTGATAGCTTCTCTTTTTTATGTAATGCAACCGTTTGAACTTTTTAACTGCATTTTTGATAGTTACTTAAATCAGTATAATCTGTCTTTTTCCCCTCAGGGCCTGCTGTATTTTAACAGTAAGCTGAAGATGCTTGAGAGAAGGCAACAGCAAGTGAAGGAAGTGAGGGCAAAGCATCAAGTGTTATTGGAGGAGCTGGAAGACACGAAGGCCCGACTGATGATGGACCCCAGCAAGTGGATAGGAGAGTGTAAGTCACTTCCTTTGAGAGTAAGATGACAAATAAACTTTGGTAGCAGACAATGTAACTAAATCCTGCTTTCCTCATTCCAACAGTTGAGGTGGACCAGAATTTGGATAAAGAATCTCCAGAGTATCTGGAGGCCTTGACACAGGCCACAGAGGAGCTGGAGTTCTGCGTCAACCTGTGCAAGGCCCGTGTCATGATGGTGACGTGCTTTGACATCAGCATGTCAACACCTGGCACTCAGGAGGGGCTACGTGAAGTCGAAGTCTGAGGACAAAAGTAAGTAGGAGCGGGAAAGGAAAGAAATGGAAGTGAGAAGAAAAAGAACGATGAAATGTAGCAGTCAGTGTGTAGAAGTCCCTGGAAGAAGAGCAAAAGACGGAAGTGAGATGAGAGTGGATCTTAACATGTAAACAGAGGAAATCTTGACCACCTAGCTACAGTGCCTCATTACCAGGACACGGCAGAGGAATGACACATGAGCACAAACGCTGTTGCCTCTATGGCAAAGCAGTGGCCATCACCTACTCAAGAGTCAATGAACAACACCTGGAAGTGCCTTTTTTATTGTTTTGTTTCGAGTCGTTATTTTCCTATGGCGCAGGTATCTTAAGCGTACCTACTCCCTGAACATATTGCTTTTAAGAAAAATATTTTATATTCCATTGTATAGTGTATTAAATGAATATGTGATGTGTACAAATGTCCTTTTTATGGGAAAAATAAAGTAAAAGAAAAAAGCAATAAGCTAATGTTATTGCTCTCCCAGACTGCCTTTTCTCTCGTTTCAAACCTCAGTCAGCATTTTATCCATGATCATTCAGCCTCCTGCGCCTTATGTTAACTCTCTGGTTCTGTAGTTTCTAAATTTTCAAACTGGACTATGTTATTTCATCAAGGACTGTATTTGCTGTCATCACTCATCTCCTGCCAGCTGTCCTGTGAAAGCTGCTTGCAGGTAGAGTGAATGTTTTTTTTCTCCTCCAGTTGCCTTGTTCAAAATGGGTCTCAGTGATGCACTTAGGTAGAGCAGCAGTTTGTTGTGGGAAGGAGAGTTTATTCAAACTGTGCTTGCCCGTGTTTATCTCACTAAAATAAAAGTTTAAGCCAAAACATATCAATCAGAGGGGCACTGTGATGACGATAAGTGATTGTTCTTGATTCACCATTCTTCTGGTGCCTCAGTATGTGTCATGCAACGTAACCTTCCCTCCACTCACCTACAATGATCATATGATGACTGGTTACACTTCTACCGGTGCCCATCAGTGAGCCCACTATTTCTCTAAATGGGCTTTGACTGGGGCTTTTATATACTGTAAAATAAAAAGGACACTGATGAGCACAAGTCAGCCAGTCTGTTAGACACTACTTCTTTTTTAAGTGCTACCAAGCCTCAGCTCTATGCATTCCAATACATTTACTGCAACTACAATAAAACCTCATTACCGAGTAAGGGCAACCACCTAGTTTTCTCTTTGTCCCTACTCTACTAATCTACTAATTATTGACGTTGATCTAATGTCCAAACGAAGACTCCAGAATTCTCCATGAAACGATACAGTGAAAAGCAAAAGATTGCGGCATTATTAAACAAAATCAATCATGGCATCAGCTCTTCATGGCTGCCAGAATGTGCTATGAATCAAACAGCTGACACGGAGACAAAAAAGATGATTGGTGAAAATGATTGTTGAGAAAAACAGACTGGCTTTGACGTATCTTGCTGTGTTTGACTTCTATATCTATGACAAATACGACTTTGTTTTCTTTGTTTTACAAAGATGGACTATCTCAGGCCCTCTCTGAAGATGCTGCATGAGATTTTTAATCACTTTTAAGAATGATTTCTACTCCATTTTTACCATTCTAATTTTTTACAATAATTCTGTGTGTTCACTAATGTGGGGTTATGCTCATGAATTAAAGAACTATTACCAAACCAAGACCTTTTTTCCAAGAAATTATTATATGTAAGGTCATATTTCATATCAAAACCCATATTTCTAATACCTTCTTTTTGTATAGGATTTTCAGACCCTGTGTATAAATGTACAATATGGCAGCTTTGTTTTACTTTTACAGTACTTGTGAATAAAATGTTCCTCCTACCGATGATTCGGAGTTGACTTTTTTCACCCTTTCATGTGTTAATACTATTTATTCTACAATTATTTTCACAAAATTCCCAAATAAATACCTTTACTACAGTGGTAGCTTAAAACAGCAACTAACCAGGAGAAACCTTTGCCACAGGATTACAAAACTAGACATGGCACACTTGCCCTTTTGTTTATGTTTGTTATTCAGCATCTTCTCTTTTAAAATGAATGCGTGTAGAAAAAAGTGCTTTAGTGAATGAGCAATTGTACTCTATGGAAGCCCGTTTCCGCCACAAAAAAAAAAGTATCCGTAACTCGAAATTTTGAGAAAAGTAACTCGAAATTTCAAATCAGCGCTGCTGACAGTAATCTATGTGAATGACGTCATTTCCTTGTACCCGAAGCTGAAGCCCTCAGGTACAAATGCTACAGCTAAACTACCGGTATTACAGCCAGTCATTAGGGACAAATTGCTGAGTATTTTCAGCTTGGCTTCACAAATGACTTGTGTTATTAGCTGAATCACATGGGCGTTACTATCAGCAAACGTACTCTCGAAAGCGCTAATTTGTTGACATTCCTCTGAGCCATATCCTTCCGGATAACAAGAAAACAATGCCAGTCACATAGATTAATGATTGGCAGAGCCAACTCGAAATTTCGAGTTACTTTTTCTCAAAATTTCGGGTTGATAACCTCGTTCAATTTTGAGTTACGGATTTTTAAAAAAATATTTAATTTTAGTGGCGGAAATGGCTTTCAATTACTCAGACGTATTCAGAGTATAAAAGCACTATATAAGAACCAGTCCATTTACTAGTATAGATCCATATACTTTTACATTCACATTGCTAAATGATTTTTTCCACAAAATAAAAAATCACACAACAGACTGTATTGTCCTCGTCTAATGAAAGCATTGATATTATTGTAACATCACCAAAGCACAGAATTGTAGCACAAAGGATCAGAAGGCAGATCTGAAGACAGAAGGGGTGTAACCAATAAAGTGGCTCCAGTGAATCTAGATGACTTTATAGAAACATCTATTTATAAGTAGCAATCCTGATAATATTCAACATCTTCTTTCTCATGAAATCCTTATAAATTAAGGAAAAGTCCATTATACTGTTCCCTGAAGATTACAGTCCGCTATTATTTCCCCCCTTTTGTTGACAGGTAACTTAGCCGACTCTGCACTGAAATCATTTTCAGCAAAGGTCTAATTAGCCTGGAGATGAGAGTACCTGAGCAGATCATAAAACCGGTTCAATTAAATAGGAAGCAAGATGCTTAATGTCAGATCAAAGTGTGTTCTCACAGCAGCCAACTCAGTGTTCTTTTTTTCTACAAGGACATTATTGTTACCTCCCAAACAAATTATGAATTGTAATTTGCTCAGTTTCCTCTCGTTATCTCCATGTTTGCACTTTGCTTATGTGTTGGAGCAAAAGAAAAACTAAGATGAAATGAGAGACATTGACATAAATGGACTGCTGATTCAATGCAGCTACATTAATAGCAGCTACACGATACAACTGTCAAAATGTGAATATTATGGACGGGGTAAAAAAGAACGTGGAGGACTACAGCGATTAATTACTATCAGGAGAACCTTGGCTCAGTGTGAAGTCCTGTGAGTAATATGCTGTTGCTGTGTGGATGGAGAGCCAAACTGGACCCTGCTGTGCATAACATCTTGTCTCCCCCTTGTTAATTCTGTTTTGATCAAACACACGAGAGTTGGTTAGCTGACTGGCAAAGAGCAGCTGTCACCGGTTTATAACCAAATTCTGCGAATGACCCATGTGTGAGGTTTTGACACATTTCCACATCTTGTAAAGGTCACTGGTATGGAAGAACCACATCAAATGGCGCCACACACAATGGAGGCATATAAAATGTAGGAAACTGTATCCTTTAAAAAATTCTCAAGTTATTCTTTAGCCAGCAGTGATTTGGCAGAAAGTAAAGCCTTCTGACAATCACTCAAAAGCCTGTCAGCTCTGTACCTTGTTGCTCTTGGGAAGCGTGTGTCTGAGTGGAAACATTTGGCCAAGGCTGCTGCAGACGTCTGATGGCCCCTGAGCACAGTCAGCCCCGTATATCCCAGCCTACTTGCCTCGGGGCTCTGATCATAAGTAGGGGAGCTGGGTGTTGTGTGAGAATAAAATGAGTCACTGAGAAGTCAAGAGTCCCCCTCTCCTTCACCCCAACCTGGCACTGACCCTGTGAAGAATATATACTGACATTTTATTTGATATTTTTCATCAAGCACATTCCAGTCTACTCAAATTTGAGTCCATTTTATATTCCTTTCTGTCTTCTTTGGTCTGTTATCTTGACTTCAGTACTCAGAGCGGTTTCTGCTGTCAAACTGTTTCAGAAGCTATTTTGTAATTGGGGTTTTTTTTCTCGCTATTTCAACACTTAGAAGTTTAAATCCCCTAAATGTCAGCCTAAATCCTTAAAAGACACTTCCATTTAGATTAAGGAAAAAACTCTAATTTTAATCTAACTGTATTTTTCATTTAGGTGGCCTCACGTTTTGCTGAAATAATGTGATTATTACTAAAGCAGGCTTATTGAACCCTCACTCCCCCTGCAACCCTGTTAGGCTGTCTGAATTGCCCAGGCATTGTTAGTGTGGGTAGTTGCTCAGTTTGGATTACAGCCCTGCAGTTCCACAGATTGGTCTGCCTAAACCAAGCCTGCTCTTTGGAAGAAGACCCATAAACCTGACCACATGCTGCCACTTATTCACAGTAATTAAAAACAAGCTGGCGTCCTTAAATTACCAGAGCCTGGCAAGATGTAAGCCTCACACACAGTCGCTGGTCATGCTTCAGGGAAGTCGTAACTATTGACATCTCCATCCCTAAAATGGATTGCATGTGTGAGCAGTTTTGCACCGAGACAGAAACCTTAAGAATCCTGAAAGCTTCGCCCCATGCTCTAGATTTTTTCAGGATGGGTGGCCAGAACAAATCCAGTAATTTGGCACTGAGCTTATTGATGCTAAAGGGAGAAAATCTAACAAAAGCAATCAGTTGTGTGAAAATGAATTCTCACTTTATAGTCAAGTTAAACACATTTGCTCTGTGATTTTGCCAAACATCGGGGCTAGGCTGGCTCGAAAGGCCATCATCATTATAAGTTGTGTAGTGTGTGGCTAATAATTTAACATATTGGTA